AAAAATCAAACGAATATTCATATTTGACCTGATTATTTATAGTTCATAATGCGTGATCAAAACCGAAAGTTTCTGTGATGAATGCCCTTGTACTGTTCACCATGTAAGAACTTATTCACTATGTAAGAATTTGTTCACCATGTAAGAACTTGTTCGTTATGCTTCAGAAGATTGGAGACTGATGAGAATTAGGCTTGGGGTGGATTAATGTCTGTGCATTGAGCATTGACTCCCCTATACAGAATTTTATTGTTGTTAACAACCATTTGATCAATAAATATGAGAGTTGCCCTCTCAAAAAAATTGCAAATAGCCTAGATGTTCAGAGCATGGGTAGGACAATCATGGCATAGTGACTCAACAGAAAATCATGCAGCCATTAAAATGATTCTTCTGAGAGTGATGTAGACACATGGAAATAGTTATACAAAATAGAGGTAAACAAACAAAGAAAAATGCAAAGTTTTTCTGTACTCTGCCACAATGACATAAACTCAGGCACTATGCTGATAAAAATGGACAGAACCCTGTGAAATGGAAAGGGGGCCATGGAAGGAATAGCTTATGTTTTTCTTAATAAACAGTGATGTCAATAAAAAAAAAAAACAAAGAAGGGGAAATATGTGCAAATTCATTTTATGAGGCCAGAATTATCCTGACACCAAAACCAGACAAGGACACCATGAGAAAAGAAAGTTAGCGGTCAATATCTCTGATGAATGTAGATGTAAATCCTCAAGAAAATATTAGGAAACAAATTTCAACAATATATTAAAAGAATCCTAGATCATGATCAAGCGGAATTTATTCCAGGGATGTAGATGGTTCAACATTCACAAATCAGTGTGATACACAACATTAAGAAAATGAAGGATTAAAATTATATGATCATTTACAGATTCAGAGACAGAATTTGAAAAAAAAATCAACATCCATTTATGGTAAAAAACTCTCAAGAACGTGGGTATACAGATAGAGTAAATGGGTTAGAATTCACACACACACACACACACACACAAACGTCCAATGATAACTAGTTTAAGATATATAAATTACTAAGTCATTTTTAGTGGAATATATTAGGAGCTATTCCCTAAGGAAGTGGATATTGGAAGGAGACATTTAAAGAGTTGAAGTTAATTAGTGCTGAGTGCCCCAGAAAATTATGGCTTTTTCAGGCTCCTGGAGTACATGTGTATACACACAAATATGTCCACACATACACACACAATCACATTCAAACTGAGAAAAAAACAGGATTCATCTGCATTATTTACAAAATTTGAACATCCAACTGTATTTACTATGTGATAACTAAAAGATTATGAAAGATCAATTTCAAAATCACAATAAAAAATTGTATGTTTTCTGAGATTTGATAGTTTTAGGTATCTGTGAGTCCCTCAGATTAATTTTTTAAAATGGATACTTTTACTAACTTAATGGGCACCGTATAAATTGTGATGTATTCAGGTGCATGAAAGAAAAGGCCATCTCTGTAGCTTAACCTTGTAATAGTATTTTATTTTCCCCACAACAAGATGTCCGAAGGAAGGGAGTCTAGGCCCCTTCTACCATTTTGCTTCATCATCCTCACAGGGGAGCTTTATCTTCATGCTTATCTAATCACAGAGGCAAGATGACTTCTCCCTCTTCATTTGTGCTGTAGGCTGGAGAAATAGAAAGGGACAAAAAGAATGTATTAGAAAAACAAAAATTTTCTCCAAAGTCTCTAGCAGAAGTGTACTTGAATCTCATTGCCTACACTTTTGTTATATCACCATTGTTGGCTGCAACAGAGTCTGAGAAGGTGAGTATTTTACCTGGGAACATTAGCAATCTGAACAAACAGGGGTTTTATCAATAAGGACGAAGTGGTGAATAGCTCTTAGAAAATTAGGACTATCTAAAGATTCACTGAATTCAGATTGCTATATAAACATAACCAGTATTTTTAAGCAGTCTAAATTTTCAGTTATACTAAATATCAGTAACTATTCAAAACAGTTCACTTTTGCTATATATGAAGATATAATTTTTTCATGAATAGACATTGTTAATTATGAGATTATATATATATTTTATATACTTTATTCCCTGTATCACACCAGTGAGACTTATATGATCATGGAACATTAATAGATTTTGTATACTATTCTTTTCTAAAATACTTCTCACTTAAATGATGGTTTTAGGGTCCATGTTATAACCCAAACTAATCACCTTTGGACAACATCTAAATTCTAAGTCCTAAACCCAAATTCTAAAGATTTTTTCAGTTAATTAACAGTATCAGCTTCAAATAACATTTCTTTAATGCCCACATACTGACAGTAGAATACTAAGTCCTAAATGAATTCTTTAAGTTAAATGTGTAACACTTATTCAAGGAAGTCTTTTGTGTTTTATACATCTTTACTAGCCTTAATATATAAAATTCAGTATTTGATAATTAGCTTTTATGGTATTATAATCATTACCTCTTAAGGAACATTTTTCTGTGCTTATGAAAATATTTAATTGTATTCTATGTCCCACTAAAATATAAATCTTAGGTTCTCTGCATTTCTCAAAGTCAGTCTTAAATGTTGATAATCAAGATGGACACATTTTTTAATGACATTTCAATGGCAGGAGCTGAAGAGAGAGTAAATATATTCGTTCTAATGTTCTCTCTAAATGGCACTCAGAAGTGAATACAGTACATTTTTGTGAGTGCAAATCTAATATTAATTCATGTCTAATGTATATGGTTTACAGATTTACATCTAATTTCAAATCCTCTGTGAATTCAATTAGAATTAATTCTATCTCATCTTACACATCTTACTGAATACATTCCTTCAAATCTAATTCTCACCCTGTTGATTTGAGATGATTTGTGTCTCATAAAAATTCACATGCAAATATTATAGGGTATCAGATATATCTTGTGAAATGTGGGGTTTATATATGATATGATTTTCTCTAATTATGAAGGAAAACATGCAGAATATTACATAAAAAACTTTATCCTTATTTGTTTATAGTTAAAGCATTTAGGAAGAAAGAATAAATAGAAATGCAATTGAGAGAATAACTACCATGAATTTAAAAAACTCTGCAAAAGACAATGTATTCTGTGTAATACATGCATATTATCAGATAAATTTATATTTTTGATATATGATACATGGATATATAAATATGGTATTCTGAAGGAACAGAACTGGCAAAAAGAAATCACTAACTTTCTCTCATAATTTCCTTTGAAGTGTGCTCTCTACAAGGTAATTCTCTTTCCCCTGGAAAAAATCTTGGTTGGTTCCTCATAGCTGTCTTAAACAGTAAAAATCTTCCTAGTATTTTAGTTACTTATACTATTTCAGTTCTGAAACTGATAGGTAAAGCCAGACTAATAATAAAAACTCCAGGCTTCACTCAAAATCAAAGACTCTACACTCACCTACTGAGCCCTGCAGTAGAAGGCAGGCCTGCAGTGCACAGTACGGCTTAGACAGATACTCCTTCACTTTCCCAACTTGTCTTTCGTCCATTCCTCAGTTTCTAACTTGCACTGTTCCTGACCACACCGGGGTTCGAGATGGTGGAAGAAGAGGTGAGGGCACAGGAAAGCTCCTGCATGTTGGTACTTTTGTGAGTTGCCATCACTTCTCTCTGGTTTGGCCGGTGTCAAAGCCTATTCTTGGTCTTTTTTCCATGCAGAGTGTTCGGTTCCTTGCAGGGTTCTTCAGATCACTTACTCCTCTCCCCATTCATTGGAAGGCATCTCTCACCTGCACCTCACTATGATTTAGGTCTCAGCAGTCCTTCTTGTCATAGTCTCTCTCTGTCCGAATCCTATTTCCTTTAAGCAGCCCTTCTGGATAAAGTACACTTAAAAGGACTCTAGGCAGCTTTCACCCACATACAGGTCATCCATACCCACTCCATGTATCTTTGGTCCATTTCAGTTATAACTCGTTAGTTTTAAAAATAACATTATGTTGTCATCACAACTCATGACAACAGATGTGTATAGGTGTCCACAGTTATTTTGCAATCATGAATGTAGAACACCAAGAAATTATGTGTGGTGAACATATTTACTGATGGTTAAAATAATTGGAATTGCTAAGATAGGCCAACATCCTACTTTTACAGATGCAAAAAGCAAAGCAAAGAATCCATTTAGCAAATGCTGTTATTGGCCAGAGACAATGCAAAGCTTTGAGATGCAATCAGAAGATAGTAGGGTCTAGATTCAAACATATGTAGGTTTGAGTCCTGTCTCCATAATGCACTACTTACAAGAAGTTGACCAAGTTTAATAAAGGGTGCAATCTCAATTTCTTCTTCTAAAGAATGGGGATAGTAACAGTTTTAGCAATTATAATGTTTTGATAATTAAATAAAATGAAACACATATAGTGTATGTTACATAACTCCTAAATAATTGTTAGTTAATTTTGCCTTTAAAACTGGTCAAATTGTTTTTTTTTAAATTGCAGCTGTGGATTCTTCAGATATTTACTTTCTTTTTTACAATTTGAATTAAAAATAATATAATTTTATATGACTACATACATATATCATGTTTTTAATAAGTGTATTTACATACTTAATAATTATGTATATTTAATATTATGTATTAAATATAAATATATTTATAATATAAGTGTATATTACATATAAATACATTTGAAATATCTCTGCATAAATTTTCTAGCTCTGTCAACTGAAAGGGCTTAGAAGCACTAGTGCTCCAATAGCAATAAACAAGCCAAATTACTGTATCTTGGTTTCAAAGTATCATTCTCCATGGAAAGGAACAGCATTCCTTGGGGAGACAGGAAGATTCCAGGGCTAGTGAAGATAAATATTTGGAACATTATGTTAGAACAGGAAGCAAGGAAGTCTTAAAATACTCAGAGGGACATATCAAAAGAATAAGTGAACCATCTTAAAGGCGCCATTACAGACCAAATTTGGGACAATTTGAGCATCAAATAAAGAATATTAGTAATAAATTCTAACCCATTAGGTTAATTAAGAATCTAGGAATCCATACTGATAAAAACTTTAAAAACATACAAATCAAGGGATTGATACTGAAGGCTTGTACATTTATTCATTAGCTTAGTTCATTCTGTAAATTTGTATCACGCACTTGAACTACCAACAACTTCAAGGAGAACCTGCAGGGTGGAAGCCTCTCCTTGATTATGGATAAAGCCTAGATGAATGCCAATCACTTAGACCCTTAGCTCCTTAGCCAGTGAGCAAGTGCCAATATACTGGAAACTTTCTGTGGGCAAAAAAAAAGAAAAAACTCCAAGTATATATTTCCCATTCTGCAGAGTTACTTTTATGTTATATCCCTGTCAGCTCTTAAAGTATGGAGCTCTAATTGTTCCCTAACAGAAATTACCTTGACTTGGCCTGCCAAAAGGTATGTAACTGCTTCCTATCTCTTTTCGCCACAACTCACATAATTTCTCCTCTCAGCTCCTCATCCAGCTATTCTACATCTGCCAGACACTTAGGAGGTGGAAAAGCTCTCATGTTCCAAGTGAAGAACAAGGAGTTCTAGTAAACAAAATGTAATGAACGTTTGTCTCAAGCATAACTATACCACTCTAACTTAAAAAGAGATACAAACAAACCACATAAAACATGCCATTAAATCATGATTTTCATTAAGTAGTATCTGGTTCTCAATACCAACATATTTATAAGTAGGCTGAAAATCTATCATAAATATGCTAAATGGGAGAAACTGAAAGTATGTCAAAAATTACTTATTTTTCACAATATTTGAGCATAGTTTGCAATAAATAGGAATGATATTTAACATTTTATTGTTTTTAAATGAAATAATGATAAACATTCTAGTGGATTTAGCTATAGTGCAGTTTATGGCTGTTATCTAGAATAAATATGTCACAGAAACTGTTCCGAAGAGAAATGTTAAATCATAACAACAAACAGATATCTCATTCATCATTTATTTAACAATGATTTATTGGGTATCTACTATAATTACTAGTACTATGTACTATATGGTACTTCTACTGTGATGGACCATACGCACCCAGAGATGAACTAATAATATTTTTGTCCTTAAGAAAGTCACTAGTGATAAAAACAGACATTTAAATTAGTAATAGCAAAGCAGTGTTTCAAGTGCACAAGTCAATTGTAGCACAAAGGTTGAGTAATTCTACAGAGGGTGAGCAGGGAAGAGTGAGAGAATGTTTCCTAGAAGAGGGAATGCTTGACATAAGCCAGTTTGTCAGGCAAGAACAAATGAATGAGACTATCAAAAGAAACATCTTATACAAAGTCACAGAGGGATAGACAAGCATGAACACCATGAGAAGGGGTCAGAGGGGAACTGAGTTTTAAGCAGGGTTCAACTTGTGGAAGGCCTATGGACTAACCTAAGGCATAGTACGACTGGAATCCATAAAATAATGTAAGTGAAAATTATCTAGTCTCTGCCATATCAAATTCCTTTCTACCTTGGGACCTAGATAATTCCTTTTCCTCTCCTGAGAACTCCTTCCCCCAGATTTTTACACAACTGGATGTTGTAACTAATTCAAGTCTTGGCTTAACAATCACCTCCTAGAAAAGACATTTCTGTATCACCCAACTAAAATTAGTGGCACCCTATCGCACCCATCTA